ATATATATATATATATATATATATATATATATATATATATATATATAATGAAAGTAAACACAAAATTACAAGTTCAGTACTGAGGAACATCTTCCACAAAAACAAGTTTCTACAACTGCAGGAATGCTTTGTGAACAAAAAAATAGTGCCTGCTTGTCAAAAGTTGTTTTTAGAAGGAACAGTTTGCACATTCCTTATACAAAAGAAGGAGGTAATAAAACACCTTGTGTTTTGGCACAAATCATATCAATTTATTTATATAGCACATAAACAACAAAAGCAAATAAAATTAAACTAAATTACTATTTCTGACAGTGTGCTCAGGGTTTAAATTCCAGTGCAAGAATGGGTGTTGCATAATTATTATTTGCACATTATTCACAAAAATCACAGATTATTCAGCTGAAAATGTATGTTCACATAAAAAAACTACAACAAAGCATCTGTTTGAATATTAAGTTTGGTTCGTTTCCAAAACGAAAATTAGGTTTAAATCTATTTAAGATCTAACAAAATATTACAAAAACACATTCATCCTCTTACATTTTATTAAAAGACCGCGTAACAAAAACACGACGGTAGATCAAATTTAGCCTTTTACGTGCAAAAAAACCCGTTTTTGTCTAAACTGTCATTTTTTTAACTACGTGATGTTTGTTTTCATTATATAAATGTGATGTGGCAACGTTTGAAGTGCAAACGCGTTTTAAAATGTGTTTATTAAACCAACAAAATGTAGCTTTGTGTTGATTTTCCGCCACATGGATAGCTGTCTGCTAAGCTAACGAAGCTAACTTCCTCAATGATCTGAGACGTTTAAAATATAGTTGGGAGTGTTTTCACCCGCGCTCACCCGCAGTTAAAAAAAATACTTGCACAAGATTTAAAAACTGGAATCGAAAATAAAACACGTTTTTGTTACTAATGCTAACAAGCGAGTTTTAGCTTCTTATGCTAACATCGCTAGCTGTTGTTAAATAATTTTACTGTATCTTAAAACCTACATGTGCATAAAATTATTTGCTACAAAACGGAAAATAAAATATGGATCTAGCTGTAGAAGTAAACGCTCTTACCGCAAAGTTTATAAAGACAGATCAGAAGAATAACCGTCAGCTCAAAGTACACTTCCTACGCAATTGGCAAACAAAATGGACGCCACCGATTAGATTGAAGCGGTGCAGCGCCACCTACTGGACTGGAAGATGAACTGCAGACAAACTTGCTATTTTAGCGCCTCCATGGGCACAAAATTCGCTCATAAATATTTCCCTCCATCCATCTTCCTTTTTGGATAGCAGGGGGTCACTGGTGCCCATGTCCAGCTATCACTGTGCAAGAGGCGGGGGACACCCTGGACAGGTCCAAGTCCATCACAGTGACACATAGAGACAGAGACAAACAATCATTCACTCTCTCTCACACACCTAGGAACAATTTAGAGTTACCAATCAGCCTAATATGCATGTTTTTGCTGTGTGGGAGGAAACCAGAGTACCTGGAGAAAACCCACGCATGCACGGAGAGAACATGCAAACTCCACCCAGAAAGGCGACGGGATGGGATTTGCAGCTGTAACCTGCTCGCTGAGAGACAACAGCTCTACCAACTGTGCCACCCTGGTCACAAATACTTTGTACTTGTGAATCAATTTGGTAACCTTAAGAAAATTTGTGCATTTTGCATGTGTATATCGGAATTTGTGTGGGATGGTGGTGGAGCAGAGGTTAGAGAAGGTGGGCCTGTGATTGGAAGGTCACTGGCTCAACTCCCTGGACCGGGAAAGGTGAAACGCTCCTGACTCTACCCTCATTTGCCCCACTCTGATATGT